CTCTCCTCATTCCCATGTTTCTTTCTTTTGGCAAGAAAATGTTTAAAGATTCAAAGCAGTGAAAAGCCTCCTGCACCATTTAACTAGCATCCCCACTCGCCTCCTGACAAATGTTGCCAGGGAAACTGCAGCTAAGGGAGCGTGGGCAGTGCCACGGCCTGAATCCCCAACGCACACATACATGTTCTTGCACACATTATTATTTCACACTTGCGATAACCTACCATGACAAGTTCCAGGGTATATGAAGAACACACCCGGGTATATCTGGGTCAAATATATCCACTGTACAATTACCTAGTTGTAGTATTTTTAAAAGTAGGAGTAACATTTATTCATTTGTATTTGTATGACCGTTCAGGCCAGGGTTACTTTGGGAGTTAGAGCCAATGCTGATAGGTCCATATGCAGGGTACAGAGTGGACAGTTGGACAGTTGGACAGTTATCACAGTGCAACAGGTTTAGCTAGTGAAGGGTATCTAGGTAAACTACTCTTAACCAGAAGGGGGAAACCAGAATACCTGGATGAAACTGACTAGAGGCAAGTCGAGTAATAGAATATACAGTAGATGTTAAGGTACTATAAAAGTATGATTACTATAATAGCTGTGTTCAGGACAGTACTTGGCTGACAAAAACTGACCCTATAGTGACCTATGAGGCCACAGGGTAGAATATTATATCATTATATATCATATATATAATGATATTATATATATATATGTATATATATGTGTGTATATGCTCCCCACAAGTATATATCACATACACACATATATACATATATGTGTATATATATATGTATGGATAAATATATATACATATACTGTATATACACATCTCGTTTGCCCCGACCTTTGCCCCGGCTGACTCCCAGTTCTCCTCCTCCTCCTCCAGAGTTCTTGGACTTTGACTCGGAGTCTGACTGTGTGTTAGCAGAGGTTTTCAGTTTGTGTCTGTTTCATAAATCATTTTGGAGTTTTGGTGAAGTTCCCCCATCCTGGGGTCGGACTCGGTGTCTACGTCAGATACTAAATACTTGTCTGCGTCTGCACAGTGGCTTCCCGTTCTCATTGCCCTGTAATCCCCAGCTGCCGTGCACAGCTCGCTGGATTCCTGGAAGGAAAATTCCAAACTCGCCAATGGATTTACAGCAGATTCCCACTGGAATTCTGCTTCAGTCTGACATGGAGACGAGCCGAGGGCCGCAGCCAATCAGTGTTCTCACTGATGACTGATGACTGTGACAAGTGTTTTCTTTGTCCGGTAATATTTGTTTGGAATATTTCACAGCAGTGATCCACACTAACTCTGCACAGGCCGTGGAATCTGATATTTCCAAAATATCAGTGGACAGATTGACTATCCATCCATCCATCATCCATCCATCCATCCATCCATCCATCCATCATCCTTCCATCCATCCATCCATCATCCATCCACCTAACGTAATGCAAAAACCTAACCATACACCACCGCTACTTCCTGCTTGTCGTTGATTTATTTATTTTGTTCTTCATATAGAACTTGCTCCAATAACGATTCCTCTGAAAAGTTCCGTCCTGTTTGTTCACACTGTTTGTATTAAATACTTTTGTGCAGCACTTTCTTCTCTTGATTCCCAGTTAGAAAACCATTAGTTTGTAGAAAGCTAATCTAAATGCTAAGCAGTCCAACATCACAGGTTTATCAGAGTGGGAATCACTTCAACTGTAACAACGCTGTGCACAGAGAACCATCCAAGGCTCCTAGATCAGTACCAGGGTCCAGTACCAGGGTCCAGTACCAGGGTCCAGTCTGTTTCTTCACTTCTTCCATTTATGTTACATTAAATTATGACACTTTTTTCCCTTCATGCCACATTCTGTCCGTTGCCTTTTAAATTCTCAGCGTGTCTTCTCCAATTTTCTCTCTCGCCACATTTATTCTCCCCCATTCTCTCAGCAACTATATCATAGCAAACCCCCCCCACCCCTCTCCCCCGGTCGACTTTGTGTCCTTTTTATTTCAGGCTTGTTGCAGATAAATGTTTGTGCAGTTTTGTTCTAGGAAAAAAAGACTATATATATATATATGTGTATATATGTGTGTATATATATATATGGATATATATATATATATAGTTATATATATATATATATATATATATAACTATATATATATATATATATATATATATAGTTATATATATATATATATATATATAGTTATATATATATATATATATATATAACTATATATATATATATATATATATAGTTATATATATCTATATAATTTGATATTTCCATATATATATATTTATATTTATATATGCAGTATAAATGTCATAAATCACATTAAACTTGAAACAAAACCTCTGATACAAACCTCAGAAGAAAACTCAGCAAACAAATGTGAAGGTACAAAATACTTACCCACAGTGTGTTTAAATGACAACGTGTCTCAGTTTTCTGTTGGTGCCGTGGTAAATGAATGTCAGTTCTACAGTACCTTGAACACAGTTGCCCCGTGACAGTGAGGGGTAATTCACACTCTGCTCTCAGGCTCTTCTTGCCTCCCTGACACCCCCCCTCCCCCTTCTTCCCTCCCCCCTCTCCTCTCTCCCCTGTGGCTCTCATCTCCCATTTAGATTTAGATTTGTGTCCTGGCTGCAGCTGAGTGACAGACTGGTGCAGGGACAGGTATACGTTGACTCAGGGCTGGAAATACAAGTCTGGGCGACTGTCAGACAGGACGACGTGTAGCCATTAAATACCCCAAAATGGGAGGGAGGAGGGAGGGAGGCAGACGGACACATGGACAGCTGGCAGACTGACGTCTCGGGAAGTCGTTTTACCAGAAGACACGGAGCCAAACGTCTGTGACTGTCAAGAAGACAGACATTTGAGACATGTCGCTGAGTGGCTCAGGCCGCGCAGCAGAATCAGAGCAGAGACGACAGACGAGTTGACAGACCAAGTGACACAGAAGCAGAAATAAAAATGTGCTCACAAACACCCACTGTCACTGCAGGGGACGAAGACATCCCAAACATGAGGGGCATGTAGTTAGTCTGGCACTTTCTGCTGCTGACCACCCAGAGTTCCCGGCGTCAGCGTTTAGACCACCAGCATCTGTGTACAGGGCAGTATTTTTGTACAGATTTGAGTTTGTGTCAGTCGTTCCGTCTCTGGTTGTCGTCATGTTCAGATCTGAGACGGGTTGGTTGCCGGTTAGAATCCACCTCCATGACTCAGCACATCACGAATAAGTGTTTTTTTTTTATATCTCACAGAGTCAGAGATAGTGGTGTGTTCTACGCCAATATTTGGTTACGATACCAAGTAGATACTGGACTCTCTCTCTCCACACTGATACTTATTAATACTCACTCATCTACGTCGTGTTCTGATTCTGTCCGTCTTTGTTTCTCTCTCTGTCTCCGTTTTAACCACGTGCACGCGTACGTGCGAGGCTGCCTGTCTCTCTCTCTCTCTCTCTCTCTCTGGTCCAAAACAAATGGCTCTCGGCAGATTTTCATGAATATTTCAGCCGTTCAGTTGGCAGTTTTAAACGCACGATTAAAATGTATTTGTTTTTTTCCTGTCAGTTATTGAACACGATGTTGGACGACTCGTGGTGTCGTGGGTGATTTCAGACAGAATGAGAGGTTGTGAATGTAGACGTTCATTACCGACACGCAGGCAAAACAACATTTATTTTTATTTTTTAAAGCAGCATCATTTTTTTACCAAACTGTTCTACTTTCAGACGCGGTCCTTTAGACCCCGGAGACTACCCCCTACAGACCTGGTCCGGTCATTATCCTGGATCTCCTCCTGCCCCACAGGGATACCAGCAGCCCATGTCTTACCCTAACCTCAACTCCCAGTCTGGTCCACCTTACTCTGGCTACCCACCTGGTCAACAGTACGCACGTCCAAGTGACCCACGGGGCGTGGACCCAGGCTACTATCCCCACCCCAGGTAACTGAACTCTACTGTATATGTCGACGACACAGTGATGTTCTTCATCATTCATTCAGTTCTACAGTTCTCCCACAGTTTTTGCCTTACAACAAGAGTGTCACTGGTTCAATACCTGCAGTAACCCCCCCTGCTCCCCACACACAGCCACTCTGACTCTAAACTCGCCTTTTATTCTTCTGTTAGCTCACAACAGAGAGGACCTTTACGACAGGATGTGCCCCCATCTCCGACCCCTCCCCTCAGGGCGCTGCGGTACGATACTATGATGCGTGGAACTGGGGCCGGAGGCTACAGGTAGTGGAGTTCTCTGACGGAACGTCCCTGAGGTAAAGTCTGAATTTAAAACCAAATGTTCTGTGATTTGAAAATAAAAAATGACAGTTTGACAGAGTGTGTTTGCACCACTCACATGTAATCTCGTGTGATTGCTACATGCACCTGATGGAACCAGTACAGATGAATGAAGCTTCAGTGTGGAGATAATTGAAGATGACAGCAGCACCAAACCAAGACCAGACTGAAGGATGCCGCGACTGCAGCTGTTGGCGACTGTTAGCTTCCCTCCTTTTTCTACTGCAACCCTTATATGTACAGGAAAACACGCTAGAGCAGGTTCATAACAGGTTCATAACAAGTTAATAACAGGTTAATAACAGGTTAATAACAGGTTAATAACAGCACAGAAACTCAGATGATCAGTATTTTATAGAAATAAAGTCGCAGCAGGAAAATCACTGTCCTTAACAACAATCATCAGTCTACAGTCCTGAACAATCGTTTTGACTGTTGTCAGTCAGACTGTCAGTCGTAGACTTACTGACAGTCAGTCTCTGTCCCAAGTCGGGCCGCTTACCAGAGGTTGAAATCTGAACAAACACGAGGTGAGTGTTGATGTTGGGATTTTATGATCCAGGTCCAATGATTTCCTTCAGTGTGTTTAAATGACAGCCTGTTATTCTGCCTGTGTTCAAAACTTTAATCTGATTAATTTCACATACTAATTCACAGGGTCATCTTGACATTTGACCCTAAATAACGTTTATATTTTAGTAAACAACAGAGAAGGAAGCAACAAATCAAGGAGTTTGCGTTGATAAAGCACATGCTCCTTTATTAGAAAATATACCACCTCACCTTTCTATCCAGATTTATACTGCCTCCTGTGTACAAACAGTGTGCGGCACATTTTTGTTTTTTTCGCACTTTCGTAGAATCTGTATTTACGCTGCGGCTTTATTTCCATGAAATGAAGTACTTTTAAAGGTCACAAATACTTTGTTGAATTCATGAAGTATCACGACTTGTCCACCGTCCTCACTGGTGTAAGAATTCTGTCCATTTAAATGAAGCCACTGAAGATAACAAAATACATTTTGATTTCCCCTGGTAGATGGCGCTGTGACACTGGCAGTAGGTCAGCGGTCTCCTGCTCCATCTCTCCCGTCAGTCAACCGTCACAAACAGATGTCGACACCAGTTGTTGTCGAGTTTAAAGTCTTAGTTCTGTTTTTCAAACCACTGCAGTATTTCTTTGAGATACATTTTACTACATGTATTACAGTACCAGTACCACAGACTGTGGGTGAAATACCACTGAATAATGTATTTGGAAAATAATGAGATTGAAACCAGTGACAAAGATCGTGAAATCGATGTTGAAGTGAATCCCTTTAGAGGGCGCTATAGTTTTACAGTTGGAGAAAATAAGAGTATCAAGGAAGAGTCGGGGGTTTGAGGGATCGAGATAAAGAGGGAAACAAAACAGATGACAGACGAAAGGAAGTGAAAGAAATGGTACAAACTGACGCACTTCAGGAGTCGACGAGTTTTTTAAAATGCTTTTATTGAATAAATGTAGTTATTTTGGAAATAATAAATAAACTTTGTATGACTTTTTAAGGTATTACTGAGGTAGTAAGGCACATTCCTTTGTGTAAAACTCATTAGTCAGGTATAAAAAAAATCCAGACGGCTGAATGTGAGGCTCGTACTCCCTGTGGCTCCGTGCCAACGCTGCAGCCGACATTAGCTTAGCAATTAAACCCACACTGTGGTGAATGTGTGTCGTTTTAACAAACGATGCATGAGCGCTAGCTGGAGTGTAAATGTCTTATTAATGTTGCATGTACAACACCGTAATAAACTAACGTGAGCCTTTGTTTTAGCCAAAGCTACATGTCTGGTCTGTGCTGGGACTTTACAACTCGTAAAGTCGTAAAAAAAAAAAAAATCACATTATTTAAAAATGAATCCGGCTTATGTTGAGCTTTTACACCAAAAAATGGAAGGAAATCCAGCCGGTGGCCATTACCTGGGTAATAAAGATGTTCTTTCCACGTACCATTAATAAAAAATGGATGTGCTGAAGTCAACCTCGGTACAAAAGACTCAGTATCAACAAAACTTTTATGAATTTAATAACTGATCGACCGGATGTTTAACAGTCCGATTAGTTTGACCTTGAATGCCTCGTCACATCAGTTGGCGTCTGAAGCTTCTTCACGTCTTTGACCACAAAAAATATTATATGTTGTTGACAAAAACAAATAAGAAAAAACATCAGATTTTCAAAAATAATAAAATAGCGCTACAGTTTACAGCACCTTCTTTTTACATACAGTCACTGAATGCTGGATTATTGATCAACTGTGAACATTCCAAGAAGGCAGTGGAACCCAAACCTTCTCAGCAGCGCCACCTTTTTGTAGATAGTACAACAACCACTTTGACACATTCACAACTGGATTAAATCATGCATAAAAGTAACAAAACTCTACAGTTTTAACTAAACAAGTGTGTTTTTACCACCATGACAGAGTAAAGAAAATATTCAAATCAAATTAATTAATTGATTTTTCTCAAAACCACTGCATTACAGGGTTACTGTAACATTTCACTTATTCCAACATTTTCTTTCAATTTTTTCAAGTTTTTTTTTCTTTTTGTTTCTGTTTTGGTCTAATTACAGGAAGTGATTTGTCGATGACTTTTTGATTTTTTTTGGCAGTACAGAATGACTTGCACAAGATGAAGGTACAAACCAGAGTTCTGGTTCACTTGGTTGTTTATTTAGAGACCAGAGATGAAGGAGCCAACTATTACTCTCACTCCTTTTTTTTCCTTTTTTTTTTTATTACTTCACCTGTATCCAAAAGTTTTTTAAATTCATTTTATACAGTTGTTACATTGTTTTCCTACATTTTATATTTATGTTATAACTTTCTCTTTTTTGCATTAAAACATCCATTTTAAACACAGTTTGGTGGAGATGCCTCTGTTTTCTTTGGTGTTGAAGTGTAAAGTGTAACCTCTTTGATTTCTTTCTTCTTCTTCTCTCCTCTTAGGCTACAGTGCTGGGCCAGCACATCTGCAGAGGTTAATTAAATACGAGTCAGGAGAAATGATTTCCCCGTGTCCCCCCTACCCTGCAAGGTGAATCATTAACACTGCCAACCCAATTTAGCCCGTCGTTTAAGCAGCTGATAAATGGGATCTTTTGTGATAAGAGATAAATGTTGGCCCGAAAATTAATGCAGGACTAATTATCAATTAGACAAAAGAAGATGAGCAGCACCGATTGCACTGCAAAGTTTGTGAGTTTTTCTGGCTCCTTGCCGCAGCTGGCTCCGTTTTAGTCCCACTTTTAATAAGTTTTCCGTCACAGTCGGTGGTTTTAGGTTTTAGTTGCTGCTGCTGTTACTGAGTGGACTGAAATCTCTGGAGATACCGATACCAACGTCGGTATCAAATACTAATACATTGGTACAAGGCAGGGTAAGTACGATGATTTCTATTAGTGTATTTTTTGTACACACAATCTCTGTATTTCTACGGAGTTCCTAAAGAAAAAATACAATGTTTCGCTAAACGTTTGTTTGTTTATTTTCCCCCATGTCCCTTTAGGGCCTCCGTAAGTTTTTTTTTTATGTTATGAATCTTATAAGTACTTTTATTTACTTCATTCAAATAGTATTTTAAATGTGCCGATCCGTTTTAGCGATCCTTTAAGAAACGACGTACATCGACGTGGATCTAATCAACTTCGGTACGACCTCAACTTTGTTGTGTGCAGATTGTTCGATTATCACTTAGTGAATCGCCGCTAACGATGTACGTAAATATGCTGCGTCGTTCTGCTCCACCATCGCCGGTGTCGTCATTTCCGGCTACAACCTTATTGGCTGATAAGTAGACCTAGCTATTAGCGACTAATCATACACTGTGAGGAAAATTATCCTAAATTTCTGACAACGCTACAGTTTTATCTCGGGTTTTCTTTGGTTTCGAGACGCTGATAACGGCCGTCCTTCAACCCGTCTCTTAGTGCGACGTTAGACCAACGTTTTAGAGCCACGGCTGAAAATGTCGCCACGGCGGACATTTTTAACTTGGAACAGCCCAAAGTCGCACAGGGTTTCCCCGCCATTCTCGGCCGATTATGTAAGCAAATTAACAATGTCATCAGTTTCTATTTCAACATCAGGAACGAAAATAACGGAATAGAAACTACTGAGAGATTCGTTCTGTGAGGACGCGACCTGTATTTGAACCTCAGCTCTGAACACAGAAGTTTCTACGTCACAGCGGACAGATGACGAGGTTTACACCTGGTCAGGATATTAGCTAAGGTACAGAGTCGACATGTTAGTCTGTCTGTTTCCAGACAAACACTCTAAATATTTATTCAGAGTGTAAAATTAACCTGACCTTAATGTTTTTCCACTTGAAGAACATACAGTTATCTCAGGGAATCGCACTGCTGACGTTCATGGATGTAAGGTAAGAGCACTAACCATCCATCCACCATCTTTGCAATTTTAAGTTTTTATTTTATTTTGTATCTGCCTCTCCACTGTTAAAGCGACATTGATCCCAAAATTGGGAAATTAAATCATTATATTCTAACCTTCCTGGATGGTTGAATCAGTGGCTTCGTCCTTCACGGCTCTGGTGTCGGTCTGTACAGATTTACGGCGGTCGGACTTGTTGATTCACCCATGGAGGAGTCACTGACTGCCAGGCTGTGTAATTGCTTCAGCCTCTCTCCCATGACAGCTCTGGCGCGCTGTAATTATTAGCAGTTATTATTAGTCGTTTTAATAAGCACGGAAATCCATTGTAATTAGACTTTACTATATAAGTGGCTGCCAGTGTGTGTGTGAACTTGGAAAGGTATTGTTCCCCTGTAACTATTACTGGCCGACGGCTGCCTGTTCCCATGGCTTCCAGTTTATTTCCACTCACACTGTTTAACCACCAGAAACCAACAGTTAATCATTAATTCATC